GAGAGAGAGAGAGAGAGAGAGAGAGAGAGAGAGAGAGAGAGAGAGAGAGAGTGGGTAGAGGGGTTAGTCAGGGCTGGAGAGAACACAAAACACACCCCCACCCACACACCCACTACCCACCCACAAACACACACACACACACACACAGACACACACACCCCCTCCAACAAGACTGGCCAAACATGGTGTGTTGGCCACAGATCAACAAGGAAGTGACCCATCACACACACACAGTTCACACTGGATAGTCAAACTCAAAGCAAAAAGCTGCTAGAAAGTCCCAGAAAGAAAACCTAACAAATAAAAAAAAAACTCCAAACAAAACAAAACGGGAAATAGAAAAAACTGGCAGCCCAAACAAAAGTCCCCCACAGCAAAAGACACAGTGTACACAGAAGGGGTGGGTCTCACCTCACAGAGGTACTTTCCCCCCACAGGTACACACAAAGGTAGGGTTCAGTACTGTGGTTTGTTACACTCCTCAGTACAAAACAACTCCCAACACTTCACCAAGGACTTAGTAAAACAATAGTACAGCTCAAATGTAAAGGGACACCCACAACTCCCCTCCTGCTCCCCCCCCCTCCCCCTTTTATTTTTCAACATTCCAAACCCAAACACACACACACACACACAAACACATACACCCATATACACACACACACGCGTGCGCGCACACAAAGACACACACACACACATGCACGTGCACACACACACATATACACAAACACACACCCACAGAAACAAACACACGTACACACACACACACACACACACACACACACACACACACACACCTTTTGAGTTCACTTCAGGTAAAAAAGAAGCACATCAAATGAAACACCAACAGTCACTTAGTGCTGGGAGAAAGTAAAACAGACAAACTGAAACAACAGAGAGAGAGAGATGAAAGAAGAAGACCCAACAAGCAGCACCCTCCAACTGCCCGTGTGTGCACATACTTTTGAGTTAGAGTCTACTTTGAGAGAGTGGAAGCAAAGTCAAACACTAATGATCATTTAGTGTTGGGGAAAAAGTAAGACGGACAAGCAGAAACAGCAGAGGGGGGGAAAAGAAGTAAGACCTACCAGTAGCACCCTCCAACCACTCACAACACACACACCCTAACACACAGGCACACACACACACACAGGCACACACACACACACCTACACACACACAGGCACACCCACACACATACAGAGGACAACAGTGTGGGAGACTGACAGAGAAAAAAATGGAGCAGCTCAATTATGAGAAAAACATTCTAATCAACAGGCATGGACATCAACAACATTGCACACTGGAAGGAACTAAACCCATAAATGAAGTTGAAATACTTTGTAATTACCCACTTCTTTTCTTACAACAGATACCCTCCCCCCACCCAGAGTTCTATAAATAATTTCTACAACTGACCCCCATCAAACCCTTCTAGGACCCCTCCCCCCCTTCCCTCCCCTAGAGATGAAATATAAGTGGTCAAGTGGAGAACACTGACCAGGCAATGGGCAGCTTGAGGCTGACGCTGAACTTGCTCTGGTAGTAATCCTGTCCGGCTCCCAGCAGTCGCGACAGACCCAAGTCGCTGATCTTCACCTGTGGACAACACACACACACTCAGGTATACACACATGGTAAACATATCGTCAGTCAGCTGTTCAGATGTCCTGAGCCCCCAATTTAAAAAAAAACCCATTTTAGATTGCAGTGTCTTGTCTCGCCTGGGTGTACCTATATGTTGCAGTGTGGGTATATGAGCCTAGGTATGCGAGTTCAATCGGGTTCCTGTCTGTATGTGTATACACATAATTTATTGCAACAATATGTGTCTGCAAGTCCATGTGTCTGCGAGTTCACAAAGAGTTCTGTCTGTACGTGTGTACCTTCATGCGCCACTGATGGCCTATGAGTCTGTGACCTTGACAGAGTTCCTGTCTGTAGGTCCAGTGTATACCTATGTACTACAGTGTATGTCTATGAGTCTGTTTGTCTGTGACTTTGACAGAGTTCCTGCCTGTATGTGTATCCTTCGTGCTTCAGTGATGGTCTGTGAGTCTGGAAGTCTCTGACTTTCACACAGATCCTGTCTGTGTGCATGTGCCTCATTCTGCAGTGCTTGTCTATGGGTCTGAGTGTGTCTGTGAGTTAGACTGAGGTCACAACTGCCTATGTGCCCCAGTGTGGGTGTCTATAAGTCTGTGTATCTAAGAGTTTGACGGAGTTCCTGTCTGTATGCATGTACCTACATGATTCAGTGAGCATCTACAAGACTGTGTGTCTGTGATTTAGCTTAAGTTCCTGTCTACTTATATGATGCTGTGTTGTCTGTGAGTCTGACAGAGGTAGCATCTTCCTGTACGTACCTGGTTCTTGCCAAAGACCGGAATTTTCCAAGCCTGTACGTACCTGGTTCTTGCTAAAGACCAGAATGTTCCAAGCTTGTACGCACCGGGTTCTTGCTAAAGACCAGAATGTTTCTGTACATACCTGGGTTCTTGCTAAAGACCAGAATGTTTCTGTACATACCTGGTTCTTGCTAAAGACCAGAATGTTCCTGTATGTACCTGGTTCTTGCTAAAGACCAGAATGTTCCTGTACGTAACTGGTTCTTGCTAAAGACCAGAACATTTCTAGCCTGTACGTACCTGGTTCTTGCTAAAGGCCAGAATGTTTCAAGCCTGTACGTACCTAGTTCTTGCTAAAGGCCAGAATGTTTCTAGCCTGTACGTACCTGGTTTTTGCTAAAGACCAGGATGTTCCTCGCGGCCAGGTCTCGGTGCACGAGCCGCCGGTTCTCCAGGTAGGCCATGCCGTCACAGACCTGCTGGGCGTAGTCACAGAGGCGGGGGAGGGGCAGGTCCACGCGGAGGCTGGGGTCCTTCAGGCACTCCAGGAGGGAGCGCATAGGGGCCAGTTCTGTAACCTGGTAAGTTACAGTTTGAGTTTCAGTAAAAAAAAAGAATTTTTTTTTAAGTAGGCGTTTTTAACCCTTTGACACAATTTGGATTAAAAAATTAAAAAAATTTCTTTTCTGTTTAAAAAAAAATGTAGGCTTTTTTACGCCTCCATTGACATATTTTACATCTTTTAGATGCATGTTTCCAAGCCTACCTGTCAAGACCAACTGAGGCTGAGAAGGATATAACAATCTGGCAGGTATCTAAGTATTCTTGTACAGCTGCGTGAGTAAAGACAAGCATACCCACACAATACCAGTTATATTTGACTCATATAGTGCAGGGAAGACGCAAGACAGACAGAGACAACAGAGAGAAAGAAAAGAAGTAGGACCTACCAGCGGCGTCCTTCAAGAACCAGCATGTACACGGACGCAGATATTGAAAACATTAGAAGAGACCAAGAGACCAATTGTTTTCCTCACCGCCTATATTTAAATAATTGAAACTGTATAAGTTTGACGCCTCCCTCAACACAATATAGATCATTCATGAGACAGGCTTCTTCAACCCTGTCTGTCTGTCAGGGCCAACCAGGGATGAGTTTTAGTTTTAGTAGAGGTTTTACAGCGCTCGCAACTACATAAGGTCATATGAGTGCCAGAAGATTAGAGGAGTTACAAGAGAGAAAAAAACATTAAAAAAGGAGCGGATAAGGACAATAGATGTTTGATAGGAAAGAATAAGCAAACCACACCAGAGCACCCGACAAACCACCTACAACCAGGGATGAGAGGGACGGAATGTCCCAGCACAAAGAAGTACACACTTTATAAAAATCAAGCTCAGGTTTTTTGTGTGCCGTGGCAAAGTGCCTCACCGCACACCACAGATGCTGGGGTCTCTTACAACATCAACCACAAACAGATATAGTATAGTATATCACCGCCAAAAGTTACTGTAAAAATGTCAAATATATAATGAAAAGAGCCAAAATCCCAGTATATGTTTACATGTGTGTGTAGCGTACCATCATGATGTTCTCCTCCGTATCCATGACGACGCCGTACATGCGCACCACGTGCTCGTGGTCCAGCTCCTGCATGATGGCCGCCTCCTTGAGCAGGCTCTGGGAGTCTGTGTTGACGCGCTCACGGCTCACACGCTTCACCGCTACCTGGACCTGGAGAGAGGGTGGACGGTTGGGGGGTAGGTTAGTTTTAGTTAGGTTTTTAAAAAAGTTTTAGTAAGAGTTTTGCAACACAACAAGGTCATATAAGTGAGGAAGATTAGAGGTGTTACAAGAGAGTAACAAACACAAAAAAGGAGGGGAAATAGAGATGATAGATTTTTTATAGGAAAGGAGCAAACCATATCAGAGCACCCACCAACCACCTGCTCTCGTAACTGTATAAGGTCATATGAGCGCCAATGGGTGGATGTCAACAGAGAAGTCCAAATGGGGAATCAGGCTTACTCTGCTCACCTCTCTAGCCTCAACAGCACAAAGTCTGCTGCAACTATCAAGGAACCCCGAAAATAGTAGTTCACAAGAGAGTGACAAATATACAAAATAAGTAGGGGAAAAATGACGAGATTAAGGATGAGGAAAGAAAAAGCAGCAGTTCCCCCTATGTTGTTTCGGCACAGTATGATCATGACACTGAGAAATCAGCCCATTTACAATTCTACTGTGTATAAAAACATGTTAATATCCCACCTTTGGGAATGGCCTAAAGACACTTCAGTCAGTAGCACTGCTCTAGGGGGATTGGTGGTTAGGGTGAGGGAAGATGAGGTGAGGGTGTGAGGTGAAGGAATGAGGTGTGGTGAGTGAAGGTGTGAGGTGAAGGTGGTAGGAGATGAGGGTGAGATGTGAGGGGAGATGCGGGCGAGATGTGAGGGGAGATGAGGGTGAGGATTTCCTTATATGAGTGCGTGTGCGCGTGCGCGCGCGTGTGTGTGTGTGCCTGTATGTGTGTGTGTGCGTGCGTGCGTGTGTGTTTGTCTATCGGTCTGCCTATATATATGTGAATGTAACTGTTCTCACTTTCTCCCCGGAGTCGGTGGTCCAGACAGCCTGTTGCACCATGCCAAAGTCGCCCTCCCCCAGGACCTTGTTGAGGCTGTGTGTGTGTGTGTGTGTGTGTGTGTGTGTGTGTGTGTGTGTGTGTGTAAGTGTGTATCTGTACTCACTTTATCCCCGAAGTCGGTGGTCCAGACAGCCTGTTGCACCAAGCCAAAGTCGCCCTCCCCCAGGAACTTGTTGAGGCTGTGTGTGTGTTTGTGTGTGAGAAAGAGTGAATGGATGGAGATGTGTGTGTGTGTATACGTGTGTGTCTGTGAGTATGCGTGAGTTTGTCTGTCTATCTGTACTCACTTTCTCCCCGGAGTCGGTGGTCCAGACAGCCTGTTGCACCACGCCAAAGTCGCCCTCCCCCAGGACCTTGTTGAGGCTGAGGGCGTCGGCCGGGATGAGCTGTCGGGCGGGCGGGCGGATATAAGGGGCGGCTCCCGACACAGGCCGGGGGGACCGCTGTTGGGGCGGGGACGGGCTCAGGGTACGGTTAGACCCCTCGCTGCTCCGGAGGATTGCCTGGGGAGGTAGGGAAACTCGCAGTTAGACAATCAGTCAATCATTGGATAAATAATTATTAAATAAGTCAGCCAGTCAGTCAGTCAAGGTGAGTGTCATCCAAGTACACAGATAGTCAGGCAATGAATGATAAGTCAATCATTGGATTAATCAATAATTAAATCAGTCAATGATGGGAGTCACCCAAGGAAACAAGACAGTCAGACAATGAATGATAAGTCAATCATTGGAGTAATCAATAATTAAATCAGTCAAAGATGGATGTCATCCAAGGAAACAGACAGTCAGTGAATCGGGCAGTATGTCAATCAACCAATCATTAAATTGTTCAGTCAGCCAGTGATGGGTGTCACCCAAACTACAAGTAGGGTCACCGCTGTTAACATGATAAAAACAAAACAGCCAGTCAATCAGTCAGTCATTCGAGTAGTCGATCATTAAATCAGTCAGTCAGTCAATCAGTCAGTCAGTCAGTTAATCAGTCAGCCATTCGAGTAATCAATAATTAAATCAGTCATTCAGTCAAAGATGGATGTCACCCATATAACAAGTTGGGTCACATTTAGGAGAAGGGTTTCGACTCTGCCTGTCAGGGTGAACCCCAGGCTGAGAGGGATACAGCGATCCAGCAGAAAGACAGAGGTACTCGATAAATTGTTAATATTCTCCCCCACACGGAAATCGAATTCCAGTCATCTGTGTCCGTTGACGACAAAGCGCCTTGCCGCTACACCACAAACGCCGCTGAGCACTTCTGTGCTTGTTCATTTGTTGTTAGGGAAATCGTCAGACAGGCAGACAGGGATTCGAGCCTCCGCTCGGTCCGACGTTGTGTCCTTGGGAAAGGCACTTTACATGAACTTCCCGCTTGGCTCGGTCCTATCGGAGACGGACGTTAAACTAGGAGGTCCCGCCCCTTAAATAACCTAAGAGTGTTGATAGGGGCGTCAAACCTATACCATTTCACCATTTTTGTTCCGACAGGCAGACAGAAACAACAAAGAGAAAGACGAGCAGTAAACCCTAGCAGCGGCAGGCACCCTCCAACCACTTACCACCCGCACAAAAATGGAGAGGAAGAAAGTAGGATTAACAAGCGGGGACCCTCCAACCACCCGCTAGCACAGATGTCGAGCGTTAACTCATTCATACGTAGCTGACGCATATTTATGCCCGATCCGAGGCAGACTAAAGGCAACGTTTAGTTTCATTTCGATCCTTTACACACAAATCAAAAACACACGAATTCGCATGCTGTTGTTGTCAGCCTTTTTAAGTTTCAGATAAAGGGTGCATAATATTGTACAAATCTGAATGAATGACAAAGTGTTCGAAAGACCAGAATGTGTGTCCTCAATGGGTTACAGAATCGATGAGCAGGGAAACGGATAAAGGAAATCTGAATCAGTTTGTAGCGACAGTAAATCAGTTTGTACAAGGCCAGAGATAGAAAACGATTGTTGGGGTGTCCCACTTGTGGGACACGTTTTTCGTTTGTGTGTGTGAGTGTGTGTGTGTGTGTGTGGG